TGAAGATGAAGGTGATGTGATTGGATGTATCTAAAACAAACTAACAGAGAATTAACAGGAGTCACCATATTGTTTATGTCTTCGAGCACGTGTGTTCTGCAACTGTTAAGTTTTTAAAATTGAAAGTTGCTCCAGAGAAAAAACTCATGTAGAAAAATTTCTTTGCAGAGAAATTCATGTCCAACGATATTTTAGCTGGAAGCTGTTAATTTCGCGAAAGCAAAAGGGAATCGTGGGGCAGCCTGGGAATTTAACTTTGCGGAGTCAAGTGTACGGCAATGGAGGAAAGAAGAAACAGTTCGAAAATATTTGCTCCATAAGAAGCGTGCAATGAGGTACTGGAGATGCTTCTGACCAGAGCTCGAAAAACCACTTCTAGAGTGGGTTCTTTTAGAGCGATCGAAAGGACGTATGGAGTCAACAACAATTATTTTGTTGCAGGACAGTAGAAAATAGAAAATTATAGAGCTTACCTATCATGGGCATTTAGATTTATGAACTGAAACAATTTGTTCGTTTACCCTCGAGTGCTGGGCAAAATTTTTTTGCTTTTCATTTCATAACGCGCAACCTTGTTTTTTTTTGCGTTGACTTGAATTTTTTACATGGAAAACGCGCGCTTTATCGATTTGAAAATACGTGGATATTAAATCAATTTTATAATCAACGTAACCGAGTCCCCTTTAAATTCATTCATAAAGTTCAAAAATCTCTATCGAATGCAATAAGTTAGGGCACTCGCTTGATAGGACCTTTATTAACACAAAATAGCATAACTTATTCCCACTGCCTCGTAAAATTCATATTTATTCAGTGGGCAGGGTCGCAAGTCATCACATTTTTACAAAAAAGGCTTTCCAGTAAAATTCTATGGGCGCAGAGAAGATTCAGGACAGAAGTATTTGCTGCCAGTCGGTATGCACCACCATCATGGCATTCACTGAGTAGAAAAGGAAATTTTGCACTCTGCAGGAAACAACCCAATATTTGCTCTGGAACTTAAATGCGTCATTCATTGACCCTACTCGTGGATAATGTAATCCTTGTCTGAAACATTCCCGCAGACTACGGTTTTTTCTCATTGAATCTTTTTTGAGCTTGTAATCATTGTATCTAACATTTTCCTGCTACAGAACTTAATCTAACAGCCATATTTCTTTACTAGCGTTTTTGCTGATAAAATTGGCGCCATAATCATTGCCCTCATTTTACCAAATAATTTGCTTTTCTTTCTTCTTCTGTCACATGGCTGCAGGAAATGACTAGCAACCTCATGGGCCAATATCAAGATTTCAAAGCTAGTGAATGACCGCGGCGGTAGCATTCTGTCGAACTTTCGCAGCGGACATTCGGAAATAATGTGCTGCATAGTCAGCTCATCATGACCGAAGTCACACTGCATGTTGGACTTCATCTTCCAGCGATGGACTAGGTGTCCACAGCGTCCTTGTCCTGTTCGAATCCTGTTTAATCTCGACCATTCTAGGCGATTTATGTACATGGTACAAAGGGGGGGGGGGTTCTGTGGTCGGGTTGAGGAATAAGCTTTTGTTATGGACAGCTGTAGCGACCCACTCTGCTGGCCACCGTTCCTCGAGACTCAGATGTGGTGTCGTTGCTCGTTCCCATGATGGATGACGTGATTTCAGGCGTCGTGCTGGTGGTTGTTGAAGACGATGAATGGATAGCTCGCGATTCCAATCAATGTTCTGGAAAATGCGATGCCCTGCTCGCCCCTCCGGAGGTAAGGAGGTTCAATATGCGCTAGAATCGGTAACCACTGTGTTTGAGTTGGCTTCGGGGTTCCTGTTACTATTCGCATCGCTTCATTGAGTTGCGTGTCTTATTTGCTCGTGTGGCAGTTGTGGCACCAAACAGGGGAACAATGCTCCGCGACAGAATACAGAAACACAAGGACCATAGTACGCAGCATGCAGGCACATGCTCCTCAAAGTTTCGTAGCAAGTTTTTTCTCGTCTTGATCTTCTATTGTATCTCTTCAAGATTTGGCTTAAATGACAGTGTTCGATTAAGAGTGACGCCCAGAGATGTTTCCTGCTGCACGTGCTAACCACAAAACTCAACTGTGAGTTTCTCTTAGACCGGTCGATTGTCCAGATGGAAAACCGTCGCGCAAGTCTTCGTCGGGCTTGGGTGTATCTTCCACTGGTAAAGATATTGCGTCATAACAGCGAGATCAGACGTGAGTATGCAGCTTATCATTTGTAAGTCGGTATGTTCGGTTGCTAGCGCGATATCATCGGCAT